TCTTCTCCCGGGAGAGCCATCCCATAAAAAATTGAAGACAGAGCATCCTGGTGAAACGGCTGTGAGCTGTGAAGATAAGTGATAAGTTGAGTCAAGGAAAAAGACTGAATGATTGAGACATTTTAAGATTGGATTGGGATTGTCTTGCCTCCTGTGTAAATTTACAAGTCTGTACTGGAAGGATGACAAACTGCAGTACAAGAAAAGTGGTTCTTTTGTTTTCTGGGGTTAGAACATGCTCTGAAAATATCCAGCGCTTGCTGTTTCCTGATCTGTTTATTTTCCGTCTTGCACACTGTAAATCGGTCTGCCACTGATGTCAAATCTTCATAAACTTGTAAAGAATTTGGAGGGTATAACGTAGCTATTGTTTCTAATTCCTCAATAAAAAATTATAAACATAAGGCTTGATAAATGTACTCCAAAGAAAAATAATCTTTTTTTTCTTTATAGCTGGTAATCAAACTCTGAAATACCATGGTGACAAGACCGTCATAGCTTGAAGGATACAAGAATGTTGTGTGGCAATTTGCTTTCTTGAAATCCATTTTAGGATATGTCCATTTTACTGTAGTTTTTCCTATGCAGATTGTTCTTTCAGTCAAATGTTATCCAGAATGCATTAAATGTAGATGCTAATGCTTTACATTAAGTCTGAAATATCAGTTTAAGTTAATAGTTTTAAGTATAAACAATCCCTGAAGATAACTGTTGGATAACAAATGCTCTGAAGAGTGCAGTTGTCATTACAGGTGTACATATTGTGTTCTGATGCATTGTCCCAGTTGGTGACCACCCATAATTTAAAGTATGCTTGACTGTTACGCCCTTCATGGAATTTACTTTTGCCATGTGTGTATTGCTTGACCTGTCTCCCATGGATTGGGTAGAAGGCTGATGTGCTTCTGGGCTTTGTCTGAGTTGGTCCTCACTAGCAATTGTATGGGCAACAGATGGATCCATCATCGTGGATCCTCGCTGGAGCCAGTTTAATTCACTGGGGCAGCGAGGGCCTGTTCCGCAGTTCATGTAGACAGCAGAATTTGATTGCACCGATTATTTCTCACCGCTGCTTCCCTTGGGATTGTCTAAGTGGCTAAAAGACAGTGGTTTGAGAATACTAAAAAGCACCCTAGTTTGTTTCCATTTGTGTAATGGACAAGGACTTCCTGTGTGTCCCCATACAAGTTAGTAGTGACTCTATTTTCCTCTCGTCATAATGAGGAACATCAAGAGTAGTTTAAATATGAGTCACATCTGAGAGAAAGCCCTGCTTTTGAAATTGTCACTGAAGTGTCACCAGAGAGGAATGGACTGGCTGCTGTTACAGTTTTATGCTGCTGCTGACCAAGTGACCTGCTGTGGCTTTCTACAACTCCTACACCTTTGGGTTTTGGTTCTGGAGTACAGGGACTTGACTCTTATTTGAGTGACTGAATGCTGTAAAGCCAAGAGTTTGGGCTTATATTAGGGTGTAACGTTTACAGAGAGACATGAAAATTTGATTTAATACTCTGTGTTAATGGACTTGCTAGTTTCCATGGTATGTTATCTTGGTAGCTAATTACCTCTGTTGCTTAAAAGAAGTTGTGTTTTATTCCCAACTTGACTTGAATCTCCACATGCTGCATTTTATGTCTTTGTCTGCACCTTACAAAAAGCAATTTCTCTGTGTGGTGATGTTAAGTGAAATGAGCAAGTTCCAACCTTACTTTCAACCTAAGAAATGAAATAAATATCCTGAAGCTTCTCATTGCAGGATACCTTTCCAGACATCTATAGGGTTTTTTGTTTTCTATAAAATAAGAGACTGAAGTCTATGCAAGATTAATGAAGCTTTTGTTTAGAGAGAGGATAGAGTTAATGTTTTATTGTTCAGTAAACAGTTTTCTTCTATTGTATAGCCTTATAAAGACCTTAAGGGAGATATTGAAAATATTGCAAGCAAATTGAAATGTTAAAGTACTGTAGCAGCAGCATATGTAATGTACAATATGGATGCAGTAGCCATTGTAAGAAATTTTGATTTCAGAGATGGGAGAAAAGAGTTGTGTTCAGTAAGAGAACAGTGGGAGATTTTAGTTGTTTCTTTTCAGGTTGGATTTTGGTAATTTGGATAGGAACAGAGAAGAAAGAGATTATTTCCTAAAGAAATCAAATAAAGCAGAAAATGTCATTTTCCAGTATACTTATCTTGAATGATCAAAGACTTTGATTGAAACACAGCTTCTCTTATTGTCTAAATCTCTATTTTTCCAAGAACCTAATTGATGTTATCCCAGTGGTCTTCTAGATTAAGTTCTCATTTTATTTATCTTTCTGCTTTTTAAAAAAAAATAGCCCTGTAGATACAATTCTATTAGTCTGCTTGCTTCATCTAGAGGCATTTGTTTCTTTAAAAACTAGTGCAACTGAGAAATCTTGCTATTAATAGGGTACGTTTGTATACAGTGTTATAAGTGTCTAGCACATTTTTTATCTCATCTGTTTGTTTAATGCTCACCATGGCTCTCTTGCTATTCCATGTACGACCCCCTGATATTTTTAATTTCGAATGGAGAACTGTATTTTCACCAGCTTTTAGGTTAGCTTGCAACTGGTCTGTTGTAATTATTGCTAACAGATCTGTGATCCTGAGAAGACAGGATTTTTTCCGTAGTCTAGTCACTCAAGAGAAATGGAATGGCATTTGGAAGAAAGCCTCCTATTGACATCAGCGAGCTCTGGTTTAGACAGCGAGTCCTAATGCATATGGAAAGCGTAGGGAGAGGAGGAGTGCACTTCTACACGTTCAGGAATCTGCATAAGGTGTGTAGATAGTGTTTCTAAAAACTGTAGGTATCTTTCTTCCAGTTTATGAATGCAGCTTCCCACAATGCTTTTATTCCTCTGCAGGAAGTAGACAGACTGTTACCAGCTCTAACGCGACTTCATTGTCCTGGGATTCCTCACATCTTCCCTAACGCTAGGTTCTGTCCCCTTCAGAAATAAAGGCAGAACTTCTTTGTCTCAAATTAATGATGAACTTCTCACGTAACTCGTATTGAACTACAGAAGCTATTTCAGTTACAAGCTGGGCAGCAATCATGGCTGTCTGTAGCTGTAGATGGCCGGATAGCGCACAAAACTATGGCAGACAGCAGATACCCGTTCTTAGAAGACATAGTGTAAAGAGTGCGTAAAGTCATGAACAAATTACGCAACAGCAGCCTGTTTTATGACCACTGCTGAGTGTCAGCCCCATTCCAGCCCTAAAGAGTTGAGCTATCTTTTCAAATGTTCAGACTCCTCTGGCTGCTTCCCAGTGCCTTTCCCAGGTGCTCGGCCTCACCTGCGTGCTCTTTCCTTGGTCCTCCTGTGCCTTAATGGGTCTCTGCCCCTTGAGCCATTAGTCCCTGTGAATAGTAACCAGGAAGCCACTGAAAAATTTAGGAATACCTTTTTTAGATATGTTTTAATAAGTGTTTAACCCCGTATCTTGAAACTATCCAGATCTGGAAGTAAGTGTTGTGTTCCCATGGGAACCTAAGGAAATACTCATTTTAACTTCTTTATTCTTATTAACATGCATGTCCCTGAGATAGCAGACTTCAGAACTGTGCTATATCCACAGGAAAAAGTAGTTTTTTTCCAGAACAAAATATCTCGTAATCCTGGATCTTGATTACTGACAGTCATGATATCTCAACATTAATGGCTATTTAGAGTGAGAGGAAAAGCGTGTACACAAAATTTCTGAGACCAGTAGAAGGCTTTGTACTGAGTGCCCAGCTGAGACAAACGGGAGTTAATAGGAATTTTATGCTACTTTGGCCAGAAAATATGCATGTCTCTGTGATTTACCATTTAAAATATATCCGTGACACAGACTGAAAGATTTATCTCATTTTAACGGGCATTGTTCATGGTGAAAGTCCCGGTAGAAGAGCGTGTGCTGCTTTTTGAGCTGAATATTGTCTTTCTTGAATTTGGCCTTGCGATCTTTAGTCCGTAGCAGTGTGCTACCGTAGGCTGGCCCCGAGTCTGCCTCCAGTGCTGGTGCTGCTCCAATGAGATTGACGAGGGCTTCGTAATTTCTCTCCTTCTAATGTCTCTGCCTGGCTGGCTCTCTTTCTTCCTTTTTCAAATGGTAGTTGTTCTGTGCACTTCATGATATATTTCTGCTGCCAGCGTGTTGAGCGCTTTTTAAATGTTTTTTTAAGCAAAATCAATAGGTTGGGGTTTTTTTTTTTTTTTGTATTAATCAAGTCTGAGCCATTAGCAAAATATTCTAGGAGTGCCTTCATCAATAACTAAGCATTTAGCACCTTACCGTGCAATTCTGGTTTTGATTTATATGTTTATTAGAAGAAAATAAAGTAAAACTTTGAATAACTCTACAATTTTTGGGATACCTTTAGGATTTTATTTTTTAGTGTAATAGATGGTGAAGTTGCTATTCTGGGCATGAATGGCTGTGAGACTTTAATGGCTTGGGTCATTCTGTTTGCTTGGCAGAGTCAAGGAATCAGTTGGCAACAGTATTCATTTTATTGAAAAGGCCTTAGAGAGACAAAGCGAGAGTGCACGTGTGTGTATGTGAGAGCGTGACTACAATATACAACCAGAGGGAAGTCGTAGAGACAGTGAATGGATTCCGCCAGCCTGGGCAAAATTACTGTCCCTATTAAAAAGCAGTCATTGTTTCTAATAGCCATGGGTTTAATTTGCTTCTGTGTGAGACCTGATTAAGTAAATGACCAATACTTAAGAGCATGTCAAACAAGCAGGTTTATCATCTGGATGCTTAAGTCTCCCCTCTGGGTGATGAGATGGCACGTCTTTTCTTATTGTCTCTCAGATCGACTGCTAAGGTAGTACAGGTCTTAAACAGGTAAAGCAACAAGTTGGTGATTGGGAGTGAATAGTTTCAGTGCTCAGGACAAAAAATGGAATATATTGCAAGAAAAAAAAGCGTATTGTTTTCCAATTCTGTTTTGGGGGAAGTTGGAGACGCTGCCATGGCTCAGAGAAGGTATTAGCATGGCTCCCTGAGAAAAGCCTGATGTTTTTGGTACGAATGTGAATGTCTTGGACTTTAATCCTCTTCCCTCCTCACCTCTAGCTCAAGGAAGTGGGGTTAAATCAAAGCGACAGCCTCTCCTCAGCTTTTCCATGTCACGTTGCTGTGTGTGTTGTGGATGCTGAAACAATCCTGCACTCAAACCCTGGGATGTAAAAGGGCTTGTGTGGCTTGGCCAGAAGTTAACAGGAACTGAGAATGAGTAGGATGAGAAATGAGGCAATGGAATTTGTAGTATAAACACAAAGCAGCCTTCATGTATTCATCTTAGGTCACAGCTCTGTGCCTGGCCTGTCCGCTTTGCATCCCATTAACTTATCTATTGTTTGAGACACTTCATCCTAAAACTCTCTCATCCTTACTTTCGAATTCCTTTGCAGGTACATGTGTGCCTTGGGATAGCGTGGAGCAAAAATGCTGTCTAGTTTCTGGGGGGACAGGAAAGCTGGTAACGAAGTGGAACTGAAAAGGATGAGGTGTGTCTGGTCCGTTTCTTCTCCTGACCCTTTCATAAGAAAAATGTAGTTCTGAATGCTTTAGTCCCATTTCTCTGGGACATAGGATTATTTTAGATATTTCAGAATTAAGTACTTCAAAGTCAAATCTGCAGCTGAGTGCATGCATTAAAAACAAAATACATCGTTTCACAGATGTCACGGTACTTTTAGTGGCTTCAGAACATAATTTTACAGCTTAAAAGGAGGGGGGTAGAAAAGGAATAGCAAGAGGTAAATGCGTATTTCAGTTGTTACGTTTTTGAAATAGATGAACTCATTTTAGGTAATCATGTAAGAAAATACATTAAGTATTCTAATGGAGAAAAGCTAAAGAGAAAGGACACAATTTTTACTACCTTTTCTGTTTCTTTCAGCAAATAAAACAATTAGCTTAAATACATCATTTCAAAGCTTAAGAAGCTTTTATGTGGAAAAGCAGGAGAGGTTGTTACTGTATGCTGATGTGAAAAAAGGCATGTATTTTCATTTCAGCAGTTGAAAAGATAGTCTTCTCTGCTGCCCTTCAAACGGCAGTGTTTTGTTTTGCTTATATTGAATTGCCGTAAATCCTTAACATAACTTACTCTTTTGTGGGTGGAACGTTCATATCATTAAATCATTTCCTGCAGCTGGCTTTCCTAGGGGTCAACAAAACTGTTTCAAGTTCTGCAGGTACACAGTACGCATTCCCAGTGTAAGTGGAACACTGTGTACAAAGAATAAATGTATTTAGAAAACAAGATTAATTCTCTGTAATCTTTGCTATGCAGATTGCTCTTTCAGTAAGATGTCATCCAGGCTGCATTAAACCTAGCTGCTGCTTTGCTGCGCTGCTTTGTATACAGTTTCTACTTACTTTACACTCTAATTTGACGAAGGGCACTGGCAGACTCTGTTGATTTCTTGTCCAGGTGATTAATTTCACCCAACTGCTGCTCATACACAGAGAGATTACTGGCTTTGACTTCTGTATTTACTAGTGATGATTTCCGAGTACCGTGCAGAGTACCCACCCCCAGCAGCACTGGCAGAAAGAAGTGGGTGTCCACCTCATCCATCCCATTCGTAGACTGGTATGGAAAGTGTCGATGGTGCAAATTTTGTGCAAGAAAACTAGAGTGGGTTAGGAGAAGACTGTCTTCTTGTGTTGCTCAGCTAAACTCTAGCAAAGATAGAGTGGGCAACAGGGAATAGCAGTGTTGTAGTACTCCTCCCTCTGAGCAAGAGGCGGTGGAAAATGTCAGTGAGGGGTACGGGTACACAGCTGACTTACAGCATGTGATATTTCTCGTGAACTCAGTGAGAGGACTCCTGCCCTGTTTTACTAAATTCTGTAAATTATTACTCATTGAATCAAGGCCTTATGTATTTAATTTTCACCTATCATGTTTTTTGTTGTTGTTTTCTCTTTATTTTAGTAATGCAAACCGATGGATTGAAAAACTGTATTTCTTTTTACAGGAGAAAAAAAAAAGAGTAAAATAAATATTAATGGTGTGGCACAACGGCACAACACTTACAGTTGTTCCATGTCTAATGAATATGTAACAGTTCTATTTTCTACTTAAAAACAAACACAAACGTTGTCAGAAGAGAATTAGTGTTATTTTTTAAAAACGTTTTTATCTAGGAAATGCATTTCTCTAGAGGGTGCTATTAAAGACTGTGCAGAATGGATAAACCTATTTGTTGAGTGTGGTGGTGATCTGTTTCTAGAGCTAGGAACGTGGAACTTTTATTGAATTGTATACCATTTCCCTGCACCAGTTTTATCTGTTCTCCTCTGCTGTATTGTAGGTGTTTATTACTGGAAAGAGCGTAGTCCTACAATCTGAGTTGGTGTTCAGCCATTCCTTTCTGTCAGTGGAAATACAGAGTACTCATCCCCACTCTGCCCCCCTGCATTAACGAATCCAAGCTGGTCCTTCAGAATTGTATAGAAACAGCCCAGAAATAAGCTATCGTGCCACAGAGAAGGTAGTATACGATTAGGATTTGAGGAGATGAAATTTATCTAGAGGCAGAGCGTGTCTTATGGCTGCAAAGAGAAAGAAAAGTTCAGCAGGATAGGCTTTCCCACGCATCTGCAATCTGATCCTCAACACACCCTCCAGACAGCTTTTCCAAGGAAGAGCACCTTTCAGAAGAGCATCCAGCTTTACAGGAGTAAAAGCTTTACTTTTACTTTACAGGAGTAAAGCTCCCACCATTTTTTTGTGTGTCAAAATAGTTGAGTAAACTTTCCACCTCTCCTTTGCTAAAGGAGCTCACTGATTCTGTTTCTCTTTTGCATTGCACGGCTTTTTTTCAGGCTTTTCAATCAGCTCTTGAAATTTCCAGTTTTCGGTGACTGATGTACACACCAGATGTGGTTGGGAGAGCTCCTCGACACTCCCTTTTGGTTTTCTTAGCTCATTTAGTGTGGAAAAAAACTAAGAGGGAATGCCTGGCAGCATCTCTTTTGTTACAGGCAGAGACTGTCTGCTGTGTAAGATAAACCTGGCAGGGGGAGAGGGCACTCCATGGCCGAATCTCTCCTGGTGTGTCTTTCCAATCGCCCTGTGTGCGTAAAGGACAACCTTCCTCTCATCACTTCTGGAGCATATGTATGCTTGTTTTTTCTTTAGAATTGGACAGCCTTCCCCAAGCCCTTCTGCTCCTTGGTACCTAAGAATCATTTATCTCTCACTGCAACAATCCAATGGTTTCATAACTGGCTATGAAGCAAAGTCCCAGTCTAGGGACATTGCTGACTGCGGGCCCAAAAATTGGCCAGGAGCAAGTAACTGTTGAGTGGCAGAAACAACTGGGAATTCTTGGTAAATCGAGAAAAATGGGTAGTGTCTGAAAAGAGTGGTGTAACACCAGGCTGGAAAAAAGTGTGCTTGGGCTTTCTGAGGTGTTTTTATAGCACTTAGCTTTGTTCTTTCTTAACAATGTTACAGCGCTCTCAGAAAAGTGGTTTTATTGGTATCAAGTCAAATCCAGTTGCAGGTTTTGGGAAGCTCAGTGGATACAACATTTGTTTATTTTCTGGCAAACTTCTATGTATTTATAAATCCTTAAATAAAATGCAGTAGATAGTTGAAATTCAAATTTACATGTTACCTTTTCCAGTGCACTTTCCGAGGATCTCGGCTCCAAGAGGAGTGAGTACCCTGTGGGTCCCCTGTGCCTCCTTTATATGGGGGGCAGAGTAATTGCTCAGGACGGCGTGGGCATTTTACGGAAGGGGGTGGCTGCGAAGAAAGAGAAATTTGCAGACTCCGTGTTGGTATGTTTAATCCTTCAGGGAGGAAAATTTTTTTCAGTGTTCATTTTGAAGTAAGGTCAGCCCAGTGACTTTTTAATTATATATCAGCCAAGCAACATGCTTCATCTTTCTTTCTGGGGATATATTTGATGCAGAGAGACCAGTGAGGAGCTGTTGTCAAGGGAAGAAAACACTTTGTGTTCCACAAAACTGATAAAATAGCGGATGTGTGTCCACCATGAATGAAATTTTAGGCTACATTCAGGTTTACATTTACCTGAACTCATTGACGTCAAGGAATAAGAAACTTTTTGATGTGTCAGCTTGTTTCATTTGCTATACAAGTGTCTAAAGGGTGGTTTGAAGGACAATGAGGCCAGACTCTTTTCAGTGGTTCCCAGTGACAGGACGAGGGGCAACTTCTTTACGGTTCGGGTGACAGAGCACTGGCACAGGCTGCCCAGGGAGGGGGTCGAGTCTCCTTCTCTGGAGATTTTCAAGACCCGCCTGGATGCAGTCCTGAGGAATGTGCTCTGGGCAATCCTGCTTTAGCAGGGGAGTTGGACTAGATGATCTCTAGAGGTCCCTTCCAACTCTGAAGATTCTGTGATTCTGTGATTTCCCAGAATATTTCCTCATTATGGGGGATTGCTTCGCGGTAATGATTATAATTTAACTCCATTGCTGTGTGCGTCACAATGTATGTAGAGAGAGACTCAGTTCTTGCCTCTAAAATGTGCGATCTGTACTGACGACAGCATGAGCACCTGACCTGACGAGCTGAATAGTAAGCTTCAACCAAACACAGCTGCTTTTTTTTTAATTATTATTATTTTGTTTAGTATGAAAAGCCTTAAAAAAAAAGTGAGTATCAAAGAATTATTTGAAAGGGGGGGGGGGAAATACTTGTATTTTGAAATTTTTGTTTTAAGAAATAAATCTGTGAGTGATCTCCCAGGGTTAGCAGGGAACTTCCCCAAAGCGTGGGTTAATGCCTATTTAGAGAGGAGGATTCTTGGCCATGCTGTTGAATATTCTGGTCATTTGGTTCAACGAACTATTGCTCTGTGGGCCTGGCTGCCAGTGAAGGGGTTGTTCCTAGCTGGGTCCTGTGAAGTCACAAATACTTAATTGGAATTCGGTGTTTCTGTCACGCTGAGTTGGTCGGTGTGTTGGCTGGTCTGTCGAGGTTACAGCCTGATGTATCAGAGCTCGAAAGCTGCCACGCAGCTGGCTGAATGCAGGCGATCAAAATTAACTCGGTGGGAAAGATGCATCTTACCGAAGAGCACAAGGTGTCCTAGGCATAGGGGTACGCAGAAACAAAAATGGGTGAAGAGAAGGAAAAATTTAGTTTTTGCTTGAAAAATCTGTTTTATTATACTTTACCTGGCTTTGGTTGATCAAGCTTGCATTGGTCTGTGCAGTGTATTGCAGGCTGAAGGCAGAATGAAAAGAAAATGCGCATTCACAGAGGTCAAAACTATGGTGGTTAATTGGAGAACCGTCAGTGTTGTAAGCGTGCACCACGTAAAGGCACTTTTGACTGTTACTTAATGCTCATCTGCCCGTCTTCTTGCACATCTGGAAGTTCTTCATCTTCCCTGGTACATATCACAAAGGGCGAGCCCTGGAAATGGAGATGTTATTATTATGCTTTAATTTTAGAAGCAAACGGTAGAGTCAAGACTGTTGACTTGTGGTCACAAGGGTGTCAAGCAGGGCTTTACGGCAACTATCGAGGCATTTAGTTCACTCAGAATGGGGTCTGGCGTGTGAATGTGAGACAGCATTAACGTGAAACATCAGTGCTCCTTCCCAGACTATGTACATGTCACGGCAGATGATAATTTTTACCTCTCCGTACGTTTCCCAGTTTACATAGAAAGCCAGGCATAATATGAGGAGAGGAAATAAACATCGTGTTTATGGATGTGAACTCTTAACAGCAACTGAGCTCAACAGTTCGCTTACTTGGGCCGAGATTAGATGTTTTCGGCACTGTGGCTCCTGTCACCAAACTGGAGTGCAACTTGCAGGATAATTCAGGAGTCATATACGTACGGTTATTGGAAATATAGACTGGTATCTTAGGGCAGGAAATGTGCTTTTTTGTATAAAACTATTTTCAAAATATTTTTAGGAGTAGTTTAGAGTTCAGTGTATATTAAAGCCTCCAGATCGTATGTGATAAAGCCAAATTTGCTCAGAACGCCACCCTTTTCAGAGCACACATGCTGCTGTGCTCCCCTCGTCCATTAGCTAATTGTAAAATATCTGCTTGTCTCTTCTTGCAGTTAGATCATTTTTAACCAGTTCAGCTCAAAATTGTACGTGTAGTGCCCAGACATTTTCCATTGACTCCACTGAATTACTACAGATTTCTATTGATGTGATGTAGAGCAGAAATCTGCCCCGGGGAACGTGGAACCCCAAAGGCATTCACTAAACCCCTTTTTTAAAAAAATAATAATAATAAAAAAGATATCAAAGTTGAATGTCCTTTGTCATTGTCTCCTATTTGCTTGTATCTAGTTATAAAGGAGGAATGCAAGAAAGCTATCCCATTAGTTGTTAGTTCAGAAGTAGTTCAAAACGAAAGCCCAGTGCCTCCAGGAATATCTTTCTCGCAGCAGTCTGATCTCTGCAGGTTACTGTTCGGAGTTATTTTAAATCAGCCTATCCTTAGGCTTTGCTGGCTGGAAGTACCTGTTATCTGCAATCCCGTTTAACTTGCAACTTTAAAATGTAATTGAGGATATTATTTCAAAGCACAGCGCTTTCTGAAGCTCCGTTTCTGAGAAGGATTCTGCACTTTTAACAAGTTGTCCTCTGATGCAGTGAGCACTGACCTCTGTCCTGGTTTTGGTAAAGATAAAGCTAAAATGGAATTTCTGGCATTCTTTAAATGTTTCAGCTAAATATCCTTTAATGTTTCTGTAGTCAAAAATGCAGATAAAATTTAAATTCTGCCTTTTATTATTTTCTTTAAAGAAGGAACTTGCTAACGAGCAAGTCATTCCATAAGCAATTCATTTTTCTCTGCCCTAATAAGGGAGTTCAGACGTAAAGGATGTTCTTTTATAATATGGTAAGACAACAGATTTTCCCTGGGAAAAAAATGAGTTCGGAGGTGTCTGGCCGATGAGGCGTGCAGGGTCCCAGCGCTACCGCCGGCTGCTGCCTGTCCTGACCCCACCTTACCCTTCTGTGGCTCTGCCCGCCCTTTACCCGCCTCTCCCGTCTGAAGTGATTTACGGCAAAATTACCTTCCCGACATGCACAATAAAGCCCCAGCTTCATTTGGGGTTTCTAGCTACACCATAACATAAATGGATTTTTTTTTTTTGCTTGTGGACTCACCGTGGTGGATCTGCTGGTGGACCTAAGAAGGAGCAGCTCTTGGGCCAGCAAAGCTTTAGGCTGAGCTTTTTGGGGTGTTTGCTGGGTGAACTGGAAGGTGGGCTGGATGGCGGGTTGTGCTGGCGCGGTGCCTTAGCTCCCTCGCTGGGGCGGTGGGACGTGCCGTGCTGGGGTGGCAGGTGACTGCTGCGGGGAGCAGCTGGGGTGAAGTGCCCTCAGCTCTGCAGGAACTGGGGGAGAGTCTCCAGCCGGCCGCGAACCCGGCGCCTGCAGTCTTGGCTCTGGAATGTGTTCCGGCACGGCGCTCAATTGTTACCGTGCCTAATAGGCACTGAGAAACGGCCCCTTTACGCTGCTCTGGTTGTCGGTAGTCTAAGGGAAAGTTTACAATCGGCTTGTGATGAGCAGGTAGGGAATTTTGCTGAGCAGTGAGGAAGAATAGTGTGGGACTGTGTTATTTGAAAGAAAGGTCTCTTGTACCTGCACATACCAGCTCTGCAGTGACACCATTGCAGCATGGGCTACCTTAGCAGAAGTGAAAGGCAGGAGAAGCTCAAAGCTTGGAGTTCCTGGGGTGTCGGGCTCCTAGGATGGGAAGACACTGAGCAGTTCCCAGCTCTGAAGAGGAATGGGGAAGAGCTCCGTGACCCAGCCCTCACTACCCCGTCAGCCTGGCTGCTGGGCCACATCCCTGCCCTCACCTGCGTTGCACAATCTGGAAGATGACACTTATGACCCATAGGAGCTGTGATGCCCTGGAGTATCAGGCTCGGTAGTAAGAAAAGGTTGAAGAACTCTGGAGATGTGCAGGTGATGAAGGGTAAACTTCAGAGCTGTCCCATCAGCAGCTGCAGCTTTCACCCAGCAGAGCACCGAGCAGAAACTCCATGGCTGGAAACTTGTGCTTTGATCTCTAACACCCTCATGGGTGGTTTCTGGAGGGGTCTGACCTGGACTCCCTCAGGATCTTCTCCCTACCACAGGCAGAGATTTAAGGCCAGTAACAAGTTCATGGGTTATCCTAGGGGAAAAGCCAAAGTTCCCCCTAGGGTCACTGCCAGCTTGCAGGACGGTGTCTTCTGTTCGGAAGATTAAATTTACGCCCTACAGATGACCCCTGCAAGCAGAGTTCAAAGGTCAGCCTAGCTTAGATCTCTCTCAGTTCAGGTCCTTACCTGGGCCGGGTGCCCAGGGCTGGCGGCTGTCGCAGGGCCACACGTGGGTTTTGGCCAGCGCAGGAGGAAAGAGAGAGAAGTCCAATAGTGTCTGAATCACAGAATGTAAAACTTGGGCTGTTTGTCTGCCCGTGAGCGTGATTCTGATTTCGAAGCCATGGCAGTCATATCGCGTAAAGTTGGGGTGATGAGATGAGATTTTCTCGATGAGATAAATTGTTTGGGTTTCATTTTATGTAATGCTGGAATGCCGCTAGGCTGAGGGGTTTTGTGCCTCTTCATAGACACTCAGAAAGTGGCGATGCCGACCGGTCAATTGTACCTGACAGTACCGTTACAGAAAAATCTCTTCTTTTCTGTCAGTAACTCCTATACATGGCCTAGTTTCCTGCCGGCAGCTGCGCAGCACGACACCAGCAGCGCAATTCAAGTCTAAATTTATGAATGTCTGTCAAACAAAGCACGAGTTGCACTCTTATGCAC